TGTTTAGCGTCCTGTTTTTTTGAAAAATAGGAAGGAGGAGGCCCTTTTTTTTCTTTTTTTTTCTTCAAAATGGTCGCTCAGTACATTTTCCCTGACAGTCGGGCTATTTTTCAAGATGGCCGCCAATAATTTTTTTTTCATGTTTTTTTTCTTTAAAAAAAAATACTAAAAAAATAGGAGGCGGCCCCCAAAAAGGAAGCGGGCGGGGATGCTTACCCCTTTGGGTTTGGTTAGGTTTTGTGTTGTGTGTGTTGGATGGACAAAGTCTATGTCCTTCTACTTATAGAATAGTAATACCAGACACTCAAGATGAAAAGCACCCCCGATGAAAAATCATGTTAATTTCAAAGGGGAAGTGCTACGGTATATGTGTCATTCATGTCTATCATGATTTCCACCTATTCCTGTACTGTGAAAAGCTCCATCTACTTGAAAAGGACTCCCTCCCAGAAATTATTAATGCACAATTCACACTTGAATTTCCCTCTGGGATGTACCTTATTGCTTTTCACACTCCATATACCTGCCACAAGTATGAACATCCTACATTCAACAGTGTCAAACTTTCCCTCTCCTTATCTTCCCGCTTTCTGAAGCATCTTTAATCTTTTGTGTTTGCCCTGAATGTAAATATTAGCCGAAAAAGACTACCCCCGGTAGATTTAATTTAATTTTTTCAACAGCTACAAATGTCAACGACCAGAAATACCCTGTACATGTTAGCCCTTGAGTTTTGTTAAAGCCTTTCTTAAAGTGTTGGAAGCCCTACATTTGCTCCCAATTGATGGCAAAATTTCACTTTTAAATTGTATCATAATGTGGAAGAGGATGTCAATCAAGGCACACTTCTGCAAAGATTCCCCCCTCCCCCCAACAACAACAACAAAAAATGTATTTGAAGACATTTTGATAAAAGAATACATAATTTGGGTTCTCTGTTGTACCAGAAAACCTGAATTTTGTATTCTTTCATCAATATTTGAAATTTGTTTTGAAAATCCTTGCAGAAATGTGTCTTAAATGACATCCTCTCTCACACTATGTACAGTGTATGATACAATATAATTAAAATTTTGCCATCAAATCTTATGGGCTCCCAACACATGTATCATTAACATATTCAGCTTTATCTACTTGACAAAATTATTAACCACAATTCACACATGAATTTCCTCAGGGATGTACCTTATTGCTTTTCACACTCCATGCACCCGTCACGAGGACATCCTACATTCAACAGTGTCGGACTTGCCCTTTCCTCAATTCTCCACTTTCTGAAGCAGATTTAATCAATTTTAGTTTGATCAACAACTGTGTTCATAAATAGAAGAATCCTTTTTATCGAAGCCTTCACATTAATTATCTCACCCACATTTTCTTGCAGTAAAGCTGCATGAGGAGAAGAGATTAAAAAATATTTTTCTGGATGCAGTACTTATACAACCTTGCAATATATGGATATGCAAGCATCATGTCTAGAAGATGCACATTTGGGTGTTCATAAATTAACCCTTCAGTAAAATCCCCCCAAAATACAATATTGTCGGACTTGCTCATTTGAAAGCTCTACTAGAAGCAACCAAAATGTACTTTATATAAAATGTTCTTCACTGACATTTTCATGAAATGTGGATTACCGGTAACGTCCTTATGAAAATATACAAGTGAGCTCTCTTATTCTCTCTCACTATATGTGTGCAGTTTTTACTTTTGTAATGCAGCGTCTTTGGGCCTCTTCCAGCTTAAAATATCCAATAGCCATAAATGTGTGTTATTGATTTACATGTACAGTACTTGCACAAATGGAGAATGTAGCTGAACAGGCTGTGTCTTGGGGAAATTCAATTTTTGTTCTTCTATACCTCCTCTTAGATATAAAGGAATGTACTGCATGAAATATGGATTTACATCTTTATGGTAATAAGCTCTTTAAAATGTAGCTTACGAGAGAGGATGTGTCTTTGGGCAATCCAATTTGCTATACCACATCGTTGACTAGCAAATGAATGTAATGCATGGGAGGAGAAGTGCCATCTAGGTTGTTGCAACCCCCCTTCGACACACAGCCTACAGGCACTGAATGAACTTTGACATTTACCGCCTCCCATCTCCTTATTGCACAGCCCGGGCAGGCATTATCGGGAGGGGGAGCTGGCTGGCTTCATCATCCTGGGAGGATTGGGGATTATTGTTTTTGGATAGAAAACATTGATTACACATCAACTCTTCTAGATCGTTTTTTTCTTTTTCATTTTTGAAATACAAGTGAACAATGTCTAACAGATGAATGCAGCTGAGACAGAACTCTTGAATTTTTGTTGTACTGAGTGAGATGGGAAGCCTTGCCGGCAATTCGCTCAAAGACATCTTTGACGAAGCCGTTCATGATAGTCATGGCTCAACTGGAGATGCCGTCGTCAGGTTTTAATCAGGTTTCAGCAACATTTGAGCTAGCATGATTGATCTGTAAAGTCATGTAACCATTTTTCATACATTCCAGCATTTGCACATGACTGGAAAAAGTGCACATGACTGGAACAAGTACACATGTAAATGCACGCTCCAATTCTCATCACAATATCATTGTTCTCCTTCACTGATCAACTTTGATTGAATTTCCAACATGGATGCACCTGTGTCAAAGTATACAGTGTAAATATTTTCTGAGCAGAAGTCCTTTCTTGTTTGGTTTTCTCTTTCCTATTCAATTTACTACAATATTTTATTTTTTCTTTCTTTTTTTTCTTTACAGCAGAATTTTTTTTTTCTTCTTTTCTTGTCCTTTTTCACCAAGATTTTCCAGAGCTTTTTCAAGCTCTTCACAAATAGACACTCACTGCTCAAGCAGTTTTCTTTTACCACTGTTCTATCAAAACATGAAAAAAGAGCAGTGTAAATGCACTCGTTTCATCCTCAAACTTAAGTCATTGCAATGTGATTATTGAGATGAGAATCTATGATCTTTCAATTTTCCCGTACCCCAAGCTGAAGGTTCATTAGTTGAAGAAATCAGCCAGGTAGGGGAGGGATACAGTACATGTATGTGTGATTGATATCCAGGATTCTTATATTCTCTCATCAACTTGATTCATCGCTAAAATAAATTGATTTGACAACTCTTCCTGAGCACTTTATAAAATGCTAGACATAATAGAAAATAAAAAGGAGTAGTTTACAGGGTACTCATGACAGTTTGGAATAATGTATACGGAACTGCTTGCCTTCCTGCGAAATATTTACGCAAGTAGAGAAGCAGAGTATTCCAAATGCCTGCATGAAAAAGCTTTCCTCCTTCTTGTGAAATTCTTGTAACAGAATTTATATTATCAATGAAATGAAGTATTGAACGAAACAAAACTAGGTGATACTTTATTCATAAATGTTTTGTTTTTTTAATACATTTTTAAAAAATATGCTAGCAGCATTTACAAAGAATCTGTAATGAAAACACAAATTAATACTTTTTTGTTTGTTGTTTGGTTTTGTTTTGTTTTTTTAATAATTTTTAAAAAATATGCTAGCAGCATTTACAAAGAATCTGTAATGAAAACACAAATTAATACTTTTTTGTTTGTTGTTTGGTTTTGTTTTGTTTTTTTAATAATTTTTAAAAAATATGCTAGCAGCATTTACAAAGAATCTGTAATGAAAACACAAATTAATACTTTTTTGTTTGTTGTTTGGTTTTGTTTTGTTTTTTTCATCTATCAAATTTTATATTTTCAATTCATGCAATTTCAGTAGGCTCTAATTTTCAAAACAATATAACTAAGTATAGTAAATTGTGGATTCGAGGCAGGTAGTGGAAAAAGCTAGATTTTTTTTTTTAAATAATAAATTCCATCACCCAGAATAGCTCATCGACTTCCGCCCCACCTACAGATATCAATAAAATCCGGAATGATGACATGGAATCAAACCTCAATTATATAATCGATAGGTCTAATATCCAAATCCCACACAATCTATTATGATTTCATTGTGCCATCAGTCGTTATCAGCCCTAGATTGCCTCCAGCCGTGTGCCGAAAAGCACTTTCAGCATTCGAACCATCACAGACAGATCACTTACTCAAACCACTCAATAAGTCCATTGGGGAGTTTAGAAAGAGGTAGATATCAACAATTCTTAAAAGCTTTAGCATTTAGGAGTGAACTCTCTCCAACTCTGCAGACGAGAGGAATGTGCATTTTTTGTGATTCATTTCAAGAAATGCACAATTCCTCAACCAGGGGCTAGTGAATCACTGAAATATTTGGGTACACGAAAGAACATCAGAGTACAAAGCAATTTTGATGAATCTACGTCCGACTCTCACCTTTTAATTATATATCTCTTCTCTTTTAAAAATAATACACACCATGCCTGCAATATCTCTCCCATACGTTCTTCAATTCCTTTACTTATTTACATACACACTCCCTTTCTCACACTCAACCACTACATTATAAGATAATTTTGAAATCTACCTCGAGCATACCACGTCTAAGTCAACTACTACTATTCCTAATTTGGTTGTCAAAGTCACGCATCATCATCCTTGTCATTAGTAAATCCATTTTTAACATCCTTGGACAAATAAGACTTTGGAATATAGCAGGTTTCCTCACTTCCCTCTTGTATTTCGTGAGAGTTTGGAGAAAAGAATTGGTGATCTATGTTCACTAGGTTCCTGTTCACATTTTCTTTTAAAATGAATTGGGGGTTCGGAGTTAAATTTTGAGGCAAACCCGCTCAGACTTTTAAGACCTGTTAAGCCTTGTTCAGATGTGTCACATTTCTTCATAATGACATGCGTGTAAATACACTTCTCCTTTCACATATAAACACAGAGCTCAGTGAATACGCGTCGGACCTTTGCTGTGCGCAATTGCCATTCACTTACAGGTTAAACAAAAAACCGACGCAGATTACTGAAACATATCTGAACGAGCCTTAGGTGTTACTGTAAGTGCTGGCTTATGAAGATACTTCAAAAAATAAGATCAGTTTATCATACCTCACAAGTGTTGTAGTCTTCTGAGTCGAGGAGTTGGCACAGCGTTGGGAGGAGGGTGGGCCAGTTCTGGAGATCACCCCTGGTCGCTATGGTAGTGATGAGGATGCCAATGGTCGCCCTGATGAGGGGTGAAGGGTCGCCGATGTTGGCCAGACATTCCGTCTTGATGAACTCTGTGACCTCTGGGGGAAGTTGTGGAAGTGAGCCTTGACATTGTTCTTGAGGATAAGACCGCTTAGTGACCTTGTCGGCTCGTCAGCTGTGGAAGAAAAAAAACAATAGAAAATAATTTTTCAGTTTGAGAGCTGCTTTGAAGCTAACTTTATGTTATTTGTCATGTTCATTATTAATTTTTAAGGGGGTGTAGCCTGACGAAACTAGGTATCTTTCCCGTAACCTGACTCGGGGCCGATCAGGTATTTTACGACTACAGACAACGCGAAACTGAAGCGTGAAGGGAACTTCGGTCTTTTTCGCGAATGCTAGCGCGCACTGACCGTGAAGTCGCTGACTACCCTTAATCAAGTCCATTCGTAGATGGCGTTAACCAGTATTTGCCAAGCTACACTCCCTTTAAGCAAGCCTCTTTTCAGTTTGCGACGATTAATTTGCCATAACCATATTCAAATACCTTTTGGATGTTTACAGAAATGATTTTTTAATTATTCAAACCATCATGATGTACTCATTAAGCAAAGGATTATATACATGTATGCTCTACAAGCATTATAGGGCTAATTGGGAACAGCTTAAAGAAAAGAACCATGAACATCAGTGCATGATTATAAAATTAAATTACAACATCAGTGCATGATCATCAAATAAAATTACAGTATGTAATCATTCAATTAGAGTGGAGAGCGTAACATACATTATGAAGAGTGACAGATTCTAATTGAATGTAGAATCTAGAGTCAGGGACAAATCCTCCGTACACAACAATACAAAAACAATGACTGCAGCAGAAAAAGTACAGATTCCCATCTATATAACAGGTTTGAAGTGCATCAGTTCTCTCCTATTCATTTGTAAAGTTGGACAGCAGGCCCAATTCTTTGATGAATCCATTCCAGTACATTGTAGACCCCAACTTGCTATTCTAAATTATCCTGCAGGTCAATGTCTCGACTTGCTTGGAATAACCATCTACAATTGAATGAATTTTAAACCAGTAAGAGGAAAACTTTTTTTTTTCAATGAAGAAAAAACATAACATTTCAATAAAAGGCTATAGTACAAAAAAACTACAAAAACTGAAACATGGGGTCGTTGAGTTCTAAAATGTTCTTAAATGATAGAAAAGAATTCAATGTACAACAAACACTTGGATGTACATTTGTATGAGGCGCTTGATACACCACAAGTATTTTCCCCTCCCTCCCTCCCTCCCTCCCTCCCTCCCTCCCTCAAATAAGTACTGTATACTGTATACACATAAATGTATCAAGGACCAGTGTTTTATTGCAATAACAGGTAGTAAACCTGTCTCATACATTCAGTACACACTCACATGTACGAGTATCAGTTTGTAAACTTGTCAATGCCATCACAAGCTGCTTGCCCTGAAAGGGAGAAATGACTCACTACCTAACTTCCATAAATAAAGTATTGTTGATTTTAGACTTGCAATGGGAGTAATAGCAACCTTTCAATTCCTAAGTCTACAATCATTATAACATTGGCAGGTGCCAGGATCTGACACACTCTAAATGAATCAACATTTTTTTTAACGATCTGCACGGTGGTTGCTTTTCCGATGCACTTCCATAGACTGTGTGTAATATAGCTCCTCTGAAATGCAGCAACGTGCAATGTAAATTGCTCATTCATGCAGACTTTCACTCTTTGCATTTTCATGATGATACACATGTAATTTTAAATAATTTTGAAATTGATTTTCATCCAAAATCCATCAACTTGTCTTGTGTACATGTACATGAAGGCATTTTTATATTTTTCATGTTCACTGTAGGGCTGTAGGCCTACATTTTAAAATTGCATCAATGTTGCGACACACATTCACCCATGGAATACAACGCCAAATATTCCTCGGACTGTGGGGCGAGAGAAATACTTATAATCAAAATCAGATTCATCGTGTTAAAGCAGCTCAAGATGATAATAAGCTGAAAACCACATGTACCAGTACAAAAATAGCCTGGCATGCTACATGTAGTATGGATACATGTAAAAATGAAGGCCTACATTACAAACATCCGTCATTGGCTACAATGTACATGTAGATGGTTCTCTAAGTCTAACTCACAGAGAGGAGTCATTTAAAGAGATAATGCATTACTCATCTTTCCTCGGCTTACGCATCATTCCTCAATGGCGGGCTTGCCATCCCTCGCATAGCAGAGGTAATGCGAGACATAAACAATCTTGACCTTTGGCGATGAGGTCACGCCAAGAGAATAATCGATCGCAGCACATCAATCAATATGTCACTCATCGCGGATGTGCAACCAGCATTGCAGTATTGCCTGCCTCACATAACTCACATACTGTATGACCAGCATGTATACATGTACAGGATAATAGGAAAAAGAGGGGTGGGGGACTGTGCATTTCAGGTCACCTCAAGAAACTCTACTAGTTGCAGGACATTTTTATTTTTATTCTTATCTGTACTTAAGCCTACATGCATTGGGTATGTGCTTGTCCTGTACTGAAAACTAATATTTTTGCAAGCTAGAAGTCTGTGATGCTCATTGAAGTATGCAGTTATCAGAACATGCTGGCGTCGGAACATATGGACGGATAACAGAAATAGTATTATGTTATCATGTTAGTTTAAAATATATATATAACCTTCAAAATTATCTACATTTTCAGGTATGTCCAATATATGCTCTAATACATGATCTTGAGCCATTTTTTACCACAAGAAACTTTCACACATTGCCAAAAGTTTAGTGCTGAATCTTTGTGAATCTGGACCACTCATGAATATCGCCAACTGTTCATGCATGTAAAAAATGTTTTTTACTGTACTATAGTATTAGGAAATAAGGATACACAATTTTTGTTCCTGTTCTGTTAGTAGAATCGCCGTGTGAGTGCATCATCGTACATGTGCGTGGTAATCTAAGCTTACATTGATGTAAAGGTTTGGCTGTTGCATTCTATCCTGTCACAGCATCCATTAAGATGACAAAACGGCCGTAACATGAAAGTTCAACAGAGATGGCAAGCAGACTTTTTCATCATGACCCTATTCAGACTTCAAGAAATTTACACGAAACTTTTACTTCTATTCTATTTTTAAAATGTTGTATAAAGAGCCATACTGCACATGTTTAACAAAAGGGGCATACACGCTGAATATTAACAATATGGTATTAAGAAACATTGTAAAGGCCTAAAGAAACTACCTTGAAAAGGTCAATAAACAAATCTGCTGGCTCATATCAATCAGTGCCCAGTTATACCCAGGGATGCCAACAGACCAAGGCTGCGTTCATGCTTAAATTTTGAAGGCAGAATGAGCGATCTGAAACGCTCATCGTAAACGCTCATCGTGATCGCAGTTCCACGATGTAGTGTTCATGCTTACTTCTCTGGCTCCCCCAGGCAATTCTCAGTGTGTGGCCTTAATTGGTCTTCCAGCTGGATTCGCAAACCTTCACTGTGCATGCTACGTAGACCCACTAGAGGTCAGTGCGTTGACCCCATTTAAACGCGTTTACAAATTGTAAACGCATCTTTTTGTGAGTTTACGATCGGCGATCGTGATCGCCGTTTTTCGGTGATTCTACAAAAGTGAGCTAAGACGCAACCGTGTTTTAAACTAAACGCGTAACAGATGCCTGATTCTGGCCGTCAAAATCAAGCATGAACGCGCCCCAAGTATTCTAAAAAATCAGATTTTGGAGAGAAAAACCAAAATTCACGAAAACTCGACACAACCAATTTCAGGAAAATGTGATACTAGTACGTACGGTCAAGTAAAATATTTGCTCTTTCATTAAAAAAAAAATTAAATTGTAAAGCAAAGTTTTTGTTGGAGTTGTGGAGGTTTACTTTTTACTTCTTTTTTTTTTTTTTTAATTTAAAAAAAAAAAATTGAAAATATTGTTGTTTTTTTGTTTTTTGAAAAATCGTATTTTAAGAGGTGATATCGTATTATCGTATTCCAGTCTTATTATCGTACTAATTACGATTAAATCGTACTGTTTGGCATCTCTGTATACCCATACAACATCATGTTCAGATGAGAATGCGACCCTGATTTTTTACAGAGTTTTTTTTTAAACTTCAAACAGATATTCCATCTTACGATGCTCAGACTAAAAATAAAATTATTCACTCAATGTATAGTTTTCAAATTGTTGTACGATGAATTTTGGAAGTCTGAACGGGGCGTATGACTTCCAGCTATCTCTCTATCCCATAACATGGCCAATTACAACATAACTGCTCAGACAGTCTACAACGTCGCTCCCCAACCATGACTCACGCTCGAGTGAAGAATAAGATTAAGAGTCGGGACTTGCCTGGATGTAAGGCTCAATTTCTTTACTATTCCTACCTAGGGAACTGGGATGTGAATTTTGATGTGATCCTGAAATATGCTGTTATCATGCAATTTAAAACAACTCCAAGTGAGAGTGATATCGCTCTTTATACAACTATGATGAACAGGAGTTCTATAGATCTTCTGATTGTCCCTACATCCATATTTTTAATAACATTTCCTTGCTGATTATTTACACTAGGCCGGGTGGGTGTGCTCATTAAATATTCATTGATTATGATAAGAAAGTTTATACAGGCATACATGTATTTTATGTGTGATATCTTATACATGCAAAAGATGCCCAATGTTTGACACAGCTCATTAGCAATCACCTAAACATACGTTTTAATAACTAGCGTGTTCTCGAAGGCCTAGATAAATTGATTCTCTCCTCAACTAAAACAAGCTTGTACAAATACAGCCATGATATTGTTTGTTTACATTATGCACAGAAAATAGTGAGCACAAACTATTAAAACAATCACAGTGTGTTTCATTTTATAAAATCACTATTTACAAAAGTCAGAAACCCTGAATGTCAAATGTCTGTATCTCCTACTGCATCAGTGACCGCATGTTTTTGGCTGAACGATTTGATTTCATATGCTGTGTTTACATCCATGGTACAGTATGTTATGAATTACATCGGCCATAGATATTCTACAGTGTAAATACAGAAAGGATTGAATACGTAGGCAATGTGTATCACGCTTGCCAAGTACATGAATGGTGA